TTTTTTTATTTATTTCACCCATTTATTTATTTATTTAATTTTGGCTAAAACGGCTCTCCATAGAAAACTGAGCCCTTCATGAAGACAGATCGCATCAACCTGTGATTACAGAGCTTTACTCTGTTTATGCAGCCAACACTTCTCAGGAATGATCGAAAGAAAAAAATTAAGACTTGACAAAATTAAATTTAAGATCTTTGATGCAAATCTGGGCGTTTTGAAGACTTTTTTAGGCCTAAAATTTAGATTTTCAAATTTGAGACTTTTTTAGACTTTTTAAGACCCTGCATGAACCCTGGGTTTTTATGCAATGTAGAGGCTTTTCACTTTACTCTTGCTAAAATGCTGGGACTGGAAGCGAATTAAGTAAATGACGTTTAGCAATTGATGACATCACACATTAACTTGCACTCTGAATAAGTAAGTAATTTCATTTCTGGGACGTGAAATAAAATTGTAATGAAATTAATGCATGTAAACAGAATCGTAAAAAATAAAATCAAGATGCCTGTAGCTCAAAAAATTGGCCTGATGGAGTAAAACAAATGTGATTTTTGGATTCAGCATATCAAAATACTACAAGTCAGCTGAAAAAAACATAAGACAATTTTTTTTGTGTTGACCAGTGTTATTATTTTACCCATTCTAGAATCTTGGGCGGATCAGGTGTCTTCGTGGTCCAAGCTTTCACCTTGCAGATAAGAATTATCATCACACAGATCAGCAGAACAAAGGAGGACATGAGTAGAACAGCTAAATAATTCACTCCATGATCTGTAAATTGTAAAAGAAAAATCAAGTTTCAGTGTTTAAACCTTTACTTTTTGGGACTACCCTTTTTCCAGGAACTAACTTAAACTTAACTTAAACTTGTTGATACTTGTCTTTAAACCTGGTTAAATGTTAACCTGTATGTGCATTTGTTATTTCATGATGAAATAATCAAATAATTAGGCTTTTTTTCTCCACAGAACCAAACCTCTAATTTAAACTTTTTATTAAATTACTCATCTAAAACAGAAAAACAAAGTGATTTTAAAGTCTGGATTAGGAGAAATCAAGTATGCATTGATATTTGAAACACTAATAATAAGGTTAATAATTGTGTTTTTCCACCAACATACTACTGTATTACTTCCTGTATGTCATGTATACTATCCTCCCTCTAAACTAAACTAAAATGTTTCCATAAAAGATGAGCAGCCTGTACAGTTGTTGTCGACTCACCATGTTCAGGTGGCTCAGTTGAACAGAACCGGTGTGTTTTTCTGAATGACACAAAGTTTATGCCGTTATTGTAAAGCAAATGTCCTGTAAGTGAGACGCATTTGTCTTCACCCTCAGAGAACTTCACGTCCAGTTTGCAGTAGCTGTCCTTCACAAAGCATTTCCCACTGAACTAAAATCACAGAAACAACAATTAGTACAGCATTCACATGGAGCATAGCAGTAACGTGCACCTGCCCTGCATGATGAATCACCAACACAACCTTGGAAATTAGTAAATTAGGTCATTACTAAAAATAATATTTTCTACTACTTTAATAATCAGTATTTAAAAGATGCTAAAGTATATTTTGGGCACTTTTAAGCTCAACATATTCAGAATTTTCTTCCACTGTTATCTGCTGAATAACCATTTCCAAGACAAACGAGAAAAAGAGTCTCTCCATTGACGACTGGGTTTTCCTCTGGGTTTCCTCCTAGTTGGACATGGGTGCCCCCTGTTAGGACATGGACATAGAGTCCAGACTTTCAGCTTTCATTTGAGGGTATYCACATTAAAATGGGGTTTCAAAGGGCTTTAGGAGTTCAGCTCCTTAACATGCCCACCTTTCATTTAAACGGACCAAAGGTAATTGGACAATTGACTCAAAGGCTATTTCATGGACAGGTGTGTACAACTCCTTTGTTGTGTCATTCTTAATTAAGCAGATAAAAGACCTGAAGTTGATATGAGCTGTGGTGCTTGCATTTGGAAGATTTTGCTGTGAAGAAAGGAGAAGCAAGCTATCCTTTAAGAAATTTGTAGGTCTTCTGGACGGTTTCTTTTTTTTTTTTTTTCTTTTTTTTGATATTTCGTCTCTCCTCCAAGAGACTTCTTCAGTCTGAGGAGTTTCAGGTGAACTCAGCCTTATAAGCACTGCCTCCACATGGTGGACAAACAGCTTTGATTGTTATAGTTAATCCTGTTTGTCCACCATGTGTAGGCACTGATTACAGTCATATGAAAACGTTTGGGCACCATGTTAATTTTCCTGATTTACCTTTATAAATCATTGATTGTTTGGATTTAAAAAATCAGTTAAATATATCATATAGGGGACAAACGTGATATTTGAGAAGTGAAATGAAGTTTATATGATTTACAGAAAGTGTGCAATAATTGTTTAAACAAAATTAGGCAGGTGCATAAATTTGGGCACCGTTTACATTTTATTGATTTCAAAACCTTTAAAACTAGTTATTGGAACTCAAATTTGGTTTGATAAGTTCA